GAAACAAGGGGCAATATTTAGGGCAGATATGGCGCGACAAGCCGAAGTATGAAACAACTGCATATACCACCTGCAGAATTTCACCTGTTAAAGACAAAGGGAGACCTGCTGCTTACTTCAGCAAGACCAAGATTTTACCTATGAAGTCTAGAATTACATAAATTCAGTTTTCACCTCGAATATGATATACACCTGAAATGTATGCTTTCAGTGTTCTGAACTGCTTCCTGTAAAATCAGTCTTTTTGGAAGTATCATGTTGGCCCTAGAATAATAATTGGCTCAATAGTGAAACAATTCTGAGAGCACACCCCAGTCATCCCGAAGAGGCATGTGGACTCAAGTGAAGCTGCTATACACTCTTTACGAAATGACAGATGTTCAGAAGAGAGCAAGCTATTTAGCACAGTTAGGCTCACAGAGGTTGAAAAAAATAAAACAAGCTAGTTTCCTCACAATAGAAAACATGTAGACAAAACTAATCCTCATATGAACTTCAAAATTACTTAAATAGTTTAGCATAACAAAACCAAATTAAATTCCCTGCTACGTAGAAAATCTTTCTGGCCACTGGGACTTAAACCCATTCATATTTCAGAATAATCACTTATAGAACATCTTAGCATTGCTAAACTGTATTGATTTCTATATATCAGTGTATGACAGATACTTTGCATTAAAAAAATCATTTATGTTTATCTTTCAAGAAAGAGGAAGGCAAGATGTCTGGCGCCTCTGGTATATGTGTGTGTACAAATTTATGCACAGAGAAAGTTGCTGGACATTTGTGGTTCTGAAGGGTCTTAACTATGAGACAGAATACCATCAAAATAAGGAGCTGTTCCTCCATTTGGCTCTTGAAGCCTGGACTCCACTACTAAAGTGGCCAGCAGCACAACAACCAAAGCAATTCTTGAGACCCAAAATTTTGGTACCCCTAAATTACTTCCAAGGCTAATTATTTTCTGGTCAGCTGCTGCTGCTCTTCCAGAAGTCAATACAGCAATGTGGACGTTACTTCAGAGACTCCCTTGCCTAGCTGAGCTCCATATTGAGAAGGCAGTGACACAACAGTTTTCAAATGAACAGTGCCAGCTGTGTGCCTAAAATATGCATTTTAACATGTATTATTATTTTTTAAAACAGCTCTGAAAAAAGATGTTTCCATCTTTTTGAATCTATAGAACCCAACATTTACTGTGGTATAATGGTCAGGCCACCTACAGAGACAGTACTGGAGTCTTCATATTTAATCCTGCAAGCAGGAAAACTACTCTTCTTGCAGAGACCAAGTGCCTGAATCCATTACTAAGCATGAGCTCTTAAAAAGTGATCCTGAGTATACCTTCTGTAGGAAGGAGGTATCTATTTCAGTGGAACAAGAGAGCCAGCAAAAGTTAGTTTATATGCACTTTTCCTATTACCCAAGGGGGAGAAAAAAAAAAGCTGGTTATATTATAGAGCCGAGTACAGAAGACATGCAGAACCAGCAGTCCTTGGAAACAGTGGACAACTAAGAACTTAAGAGTAAAAGACAGGAGAGGCCACTATGTGGGAAGAAAACGGAAGAAAATAAATCACTTTACAGTTGTGCAGAGGGCCCCCAAGGTTCTCAAGATGTTGTCTCAAGGTAGAATCACACCTTGATATTCAGTGGCAAGTAGTGTGGGAACACAGTGGCCTTTCCCTCAGCCAAGGCATTAATTTGGTTCTAAAGTTAACCTAGAAAGTAACCTTTGTGGGAGCACTGTATCTCTGAAACCTCTCAAATTTGTCTGAAATCCATCTGACAGACAAACAGGCAAGTACGAAACAAAGGGTGAAAAAACAGTATAAGCTCTTAAGTTTCATTTCCTTAGGAAATACACTTAAAAAAACAGAAAAAGTCCACATGCAATAAAACTAAGAAACACAAGAAATACCAACCTCAATTTCACTTCCCCAGCTAAAGAGTACATTAGATATTTAACAGCTGATCCTGACAAAGTCAGACATGCAGTAGCTCTGGTGTCAAAAGAAGAAAATAAAGAATCAAGAGTTTTATATATTATTTACTAAAGGTGGTGGTGGAAGAAAGAGAACAGTGATGGCAAGACTGCTCTTTTGTAACAAAGTTCATGGTCTCCTGCAGTGGAGAAATGTATTTTCTCATCTTCACAAATTCTAACTACAAAGAGCCCAACTCCAACCACATTTGGGCAACGATTGGGATGGGAAGCCAAGAGGACCAAGCCGTGGGGGCAGCAACTGAGGAGCTACTCCAAATGTCAGACAGCTCTAAACCTTTCTCCACAAAGCAGGCTGAGTGACTTGCTTCTTTCCTCATTCCCAGGCTATGCAACCTGTCTGTCTCAGACATTTTTACTTCCTTCCTCCTTTTCCTTTGTCAAAACATAAGCTACACCAACTTAAGTCAGAAGGATCAGGTGGTCTTTCTGACACACTTCCCATCTGCTCACACACTGCTTTACATTTTGACTTAGTGCACATTACTCCACTTGGAAGTTTAAATATATTCCACTTATTCTATTAAAATCTGCCTTGTAACACTTCAGCCCAACTCTGATTTCACAAACTCTGGTATTCTTTCCTAACCCTAACTAACATCACTCTATATTCTAAGCCTCTGGAGCACCCAAGACAAAATTGTTGTTTTCCTTTGATCCATTCATGTGACTCACCATACCAGGTATAATGAAAGCAATAGAATCATTCAAGAAAAAATGGGCATTTTTTGAAGGAGTAGCACCCTGAATCCAATTGTAATATTCTCAGTTACATCAACACCCTTTAAAACCATAAGTAGCATATATAGGGGCTTCAAAAGTGGGTAGGAATAGGACTCCCCCAATCAAGACTAGATGCTACAATTTTAATTTTCCAACTCTCTTTCTTTATAAATACATTGTTATTTAAGGTTCGAAAGCTCAAATTACACTAATGAAAGTTAAAAAAAGGGGATTGCAGGGCACCTGACTTCTAAGTTGAAAGGCCTCACTGAAAACATCAGGGGCTGGGATAGGCCATGGGTGTGCATACATAGTTACTATGGTTCGATCTGATGCATGAGAACTCAGGATATTAGATAGATAATCTTGGCCTGAGCTCTCAGATCAGCTGAACTACTTATATCTAGATGATACAAACATACCTATCTTTGAAGGCTTTGGGCCAGCACACTCGGTACCTGGCAACATCAGGTCACTTTCTGAAATAGCCCATTTCATCAAATCAGACTGATCAGAATGCAGAAGAGCTGGCTGGAGCCAGCAACACACACAAACAAACACTTACAGCTAAGTGACAAAACCTGTAATTAACTTTTGTGAATGTTTTAATTGTTTTATATTTTTCTCATGTCCCTTCCTCAATTACTATGCAAAATCAAACAATTACAAACTATGAGCAATTTCAGTTAAATGCAGATGTAAGATCATCTTGATGATCTACAGTTAAAGAATTTAAGACAATGCTGCTTCTAGCTAGACCTACTGGTCACTGGAACCTTAAGCACCTCCTTCTTGTTCAATATCCTTTTTCAGGACCTGAAAGAAATTAATACAGCACCTATTTGTATTTAAGGGATAATAAAAATGAATAGCATATAGTTTTATTTTAATGATCACAATAAGAATATAAACAAGTGCTTCTTTCAATATCCCCCTCTACTACAGAGCTGTTACCTGTAAAGGGAGAAGCTTTTGGGACTTGAAATTGGAGACCATGTCTTCTTAGAAAGAACACCGTGCAATAACATAAACAGTATTCTCTCCCCAACAAATTCATCTGACATAATACTAAAGAGTCTTCTCTGAAAGTTGCACAGATTAAGAAGACATGCTGCTAGACAAACAGGCATTTGAGTCCTGCACAGTTAATTCTAATAACTTGAATTTTACTTCAAAAGGAAAATGTGCTAAATCCCAGGGAGTCAATGGTGTGCAGGCCTCTCATTCCCTAAGGCTTTACTAACACTGCTCTGTTGGAATCATTTAACAGTCAAATATCCACAAACAGAAGAAAACTGCCTTCAAGGACAAAAAGTGACAAAGGAAACAAAACAAAACAAAGATACTTTACTTGTGGATGGGAAAATCTAGCAGAATCTAATCTACTTGCCAAAGCTTCAGGTCAGTATCTAATATAACTTTTTTTTAACATTTTAAATAAATAGAATCAGCTGAAGCAATACAAACAGCCAGTATCTCTCACAGTTCTTCCTGCTCACTCTCTCCTCTAATTAAGAGAGCTTTTTTCTATTTCTCCCACTAGTCCTTTCGAGAAATAGCTTTTATCTCACTTCTTCTGATGAAATTTTTAAGGTAATTCTCTGACTGCACATGGTGTTACATGTAGCAGATGGCAAAATCCTAAACTAAGTTATTAAATCTATTCCCTCCACCCCCAAACACACAGTAAATCAACATGTGCTGATGTTTTAATGAATACAGACTCAGTTTGGGTTTACTTCAAATCCCACTCACATGAGTGACAGCCTTACTAGTGATTTGGAAAGGAACTTAAGCCTCAGGCCTCAAATGAACTGAAGCATAGAAACTGGATCTACTTCCCCTATTCTTTGAGAATACATTATTTCTTTATATACCCAGCAATAGCATTCTATTGCAGCCATGCTACATTCTAAATGCTTGCTAAAAATCAGCTTACACCCTAAATGGTCATTTCATCGTATTCACATAAAAAAAAAATCCTAACTTTTTCCAAGGAAAGTATGTGCCAAATATATTAGTCAAGAATAAAAAGAACAAGGAAGAGATAGTGATGTTTCACAGATAACAACATATACCACAATAATTTTCAATTAAATATTTACTGAGGGTTGCTATACAGCATTTTCAAATACTTGGATTCCAAAAATCAAATTGCCCCAAATCACTAGTTGGCTGGATGAAGAGTATTAAAAATATTTCCTA